GAATGAATTTTTGGCAAAGACAGAGCATCTGTAGACAGATAGTCAGGACTGGGGCAAGGATGTTCACATGATATTTGTCTTGTAGTTATGTAGTAGATGGTCTCAGGTGAATAGAGATTCTGTGTAAGTGGAGACTATTCTTTCATTTTTCTGACCATGCTGATCCAAATAAACACAGAAAAACTATATTAACTACAACACTGTTTGGCATATTAGCTCAGGCTTCTTATTAACTAATTCTTACATCTTATACTAACCCATTTCTATTATTTTATATTTTACCATGAGACTCTTGATTTGTTACCTATTGCTTCTTGGGAAGATACAAGACATCTGCCTGACTTTGTCTTCTTTCCTCCTCTATCTCTGCTTGGATTTCCTACCTTGCTATATTCTATCCTGCATAGGCCAAAGTAACTTCTTTATTAACCAATGCTAATAAAACATATTCACAGCATACAGAAAGAAATTCCACATCATCTCCCATTTTCTTCCTAAACAAAAAGGAGAGTTTTAACTTTAGCATAGTAAAATTATATATAAAAACAGGTATCAAACAAGAATTACAGTTAAAATATTTCTTTGTGAGTCTAAAGTTTCATATCTACTTTATCTTTTTTAATAACTTATGAAAACTATAACTATCTACCTTCAATTCCATCAAAGAGCCCAGAAGTATATAAATAAACAGGAAATGCATTGTAAGCTTCTAAAATTCTAGAATTAACAGAGATATCTTACTGCTGGGACAGTCACCCAAAGTTCTGTAATATTGGGGCATCCATACCATTAAGCAGTCCATGCAAGAACAATTTCTTACCCAAATGGCTAGCAAACTCCACAAGGAGTCTCTTCAATACCCATCATCCTCTTGAAGTAATTGGTGCTGCCAGAAGCAGACATGTCTCACTGTCAAGAAAAGTCTAATTTAAAATATTTTAAATGCCATATTCTGTAGGTCTTTGAAAGATTTGAAGAACATTTATCTATCTGAAATATATCTCTGTACATTGAGAAAAACCTATGGACTATTATAGATTACAATCCATTAATCCACAATTTAAATAAAACACATAATACCTTAAATAAGAGTAGAAATATACATATAACAAAATGGACATGACATATTTGTGTTTGGTATGTCCTCACATGTGCAGTTGTCCTCTAAGAGTATAAGAAGTTGTTTGTTGAAGCTGAAGTTTTTTATATTTTTTAGCTGCTTGACAAGTATCTTGGGCACTGAACTGGGGTCTTCTGCATGAACAGTACAAGATTGCAACTGCTGAGGCTTCTTTCTAGCCCCTTCACACACTCCCTACAAGAGAGCAAACCATTGTTTTGGGAGAAGATGGAGAAGAGATAACTTTCTTAAGTATACAAAAACAAAGAAAACATTTATATTACATAGAATCCCAGATGTGGGGGTGAATCACTAGACACTGATCATTATTCCACCATTAAGTTAGTTTTTGTCAAATATCAATCAAAGTTTAACATCGTTATTTATCTAAATCCATCTGAAGTCTTTATAAATTCAGCTTTTATTTCACCTATGCAAAGAGGACAAGTAGAATTATGCGTGATGTCCATACTATAGCATTTCAGTGCCCCTAATGATGAATACAGCAAGGCAGAGCCAGGAATCTCCTGATGCTTGACAAGAACACCACCTGTGTCAAAATTCTAATCTCTAAGTCTCTTAATGAGCTTTGCAGTATGCCTTGATTCATGCATTTTCTTGATTGATAATGATCTGGCTTTAGAAATTGATAATTATCTGGCTTTAATTATTGATAATTATCTGGCAGCAAAAAGATGAGTTAAGTCATTGGGAATAAGAGAACTTGGAAAATATGTGATGATATTTGCCAGAACAGAAAGTAAGGATCAACCAGGCAACATGCTTTAAAGCCATGAGTGTTTGTTCTTTCTTGCTGTCTGTATAGCAACTATGTCGTTTTTCCCCATAAATACATTAAAAACCAACCTCAAAGCCAGCTGTGTACACCTATCATCCTTGCATTCAAGAAACTGAAGCAGGATGGTGGGAAGTTCAAATCCACATGAGGTTATGCTTAAATTTCTATTTTTTTTTAAAAAATAAGAGGACCCAGAAATAAACCAATTCACCTATAGACACCTGATTTCTTTTGCCATTTTTTAATTGAAAATTGATTTTTTCTATACAATGTATTTTGATTACATTTTCCTCTCCTCTAACTTCTTCCATATTCTTCTAACCTCCCTACTCAACCAGGTCCTTTTCCTTTCTTCCTTTCTTGCTCATTCAAAAAGCAAACAGGCATATAAAATAAGAAGTAAGATAAAATCAAATAAAAAATCATAATAGGGCAAAATAAACAGAAGAAAAAGAGCCCTCAAATCACAAGAAATATTTACAGACCCAGATAGTTGCACATTAACACACACGCACAATTCCCATGAAAATACAAAATTGAAAATCATAATCTATAAGCAAAATACTAGTAAGATAAAAAGCCAGGTAAAACAATATAAGAAAAAAACTCCAAAATGCCACTGCGTTCAATTTGTGTTGACTGTCTATTATTGGGCATAAGAAATGTTATTAGGTGTGTTTGTATACCCAGTGAGACATTTTTGTCAAAAACTAATTTTCTTTTGTGATATGTTATCGAATGAAGAAATGGCTTCTAGGTTAGGAATGAGGACTTGTCACTACTCTTCTTTCAGTGCTGGGACCCATGTGACTAAGACTTGTGCAGGCCCGAAGAGTGTTGCCATCATCTGTGTGAATTCATTAGTGTGTCAGTCCTGTTGGGTTTAGAATGCTTTGTTTCCTTGTTGTCTTCCTTTCCAACTGGTTCTAAAATCCTTCTGTTTACTCTACTACAGAGATCCTTGTGATCTGAGGGGAGGTATTTGATGTAAACATCCCATTTAGGATAGAATATTATGAGATCCCTCACTCTCTGTTCACTATTCAGTTAGTTGTAAGTCTCCATCTACGGCAGGAAAATTATTTCTCTGGTAATGACTGAGTAAGACACTGATTTGTGGATATAGCAAAACATTGTCAGAGGTAATTGTATTGATATATTTCTTTAGCATAACAGCAGTATTTGGTTTTCCTCTAGCTCCATATCCTGTCTGATCTTGGGTTCTTAACTAGTGTCAGGCTTGAGTTCCATTTCATGGACTAGGTCTTAAATCATTTAAGCTAGTGATTGATTACTACCACAACTTTTGTGCCTCTATTGCATCGATATATTTTATAGGTAAATCACCACTGTAAATCAAAGAGTTTGCAGCTGCATTGGTGCTTACCTTCTCCTATGGTAGGATGCAGAGTACCTTCCAGTACCATAAACACCAGCTAGTAAGGTTTAAAGCTCTAGGTAGACACCAGATAGACTTCTCTGTGTTCAAAAGGTTATGTTGGTGTTGTCTTTGGCAATAGGGGTTTATAGGCCTTACCATCAGTATGTGGAGAACAACCAATTGTCAAAATTATGGGTTTTGGTGGGTTATGGGGCTCCTTTATTCAACAACTCAAGATTTAACACATTACTGGCATGGGATGTTTCATTTGATGGCAAGAAATGTCAAAGTAGGGCTCCCATATTATTTGTTGACTTAATTTATATTTCTATAGTGTATGTATATCTTTTAAGAAGCTTCCAGGACAGCAAGTTTCTATATGTTCCCTCAATGGTCCTTAGTTTTATTTTTTCCATTCCATATTCTGTCTCTTACCCTTCTCTTTTCTCCACTCTTCATTTAATCATCCTGTTCCAGTTCTTGACCCCTTTTCATGCATATCTATAGCAAATAAAAAGAGACATTCCATAGACTGGAGAAAAGCTTTGCTAAGTCTAAAGATCATAGGGAATTCATATCTAGAGTTTAAAAAGATCCCCAACTATTAAACACTCAAAACTGTCATCCAATCAATAAAAATGGCAATGACAGAACAAGAAATTCTCAAAAGAAGAAATACAAAGAGTCAATATATATATGAAAAAGTTCAATATTCTTAGCCATCACAGAAGTACAAATTAAAACAAACTAAATTCAGATTCCATCTTACCTGAAAAGAATGGCTATAATTAGGGAAATAAATGATAGTGAGGCTTGGAAGCATTGGTTTACATTCTCATTGTTCTGGAGAGTGAGACAAGAGGATAATAATCCAAGGTCTTCTTTACTTGCAAAGTGAGCTCAAGATCAGTCTGGGCATTTAATGAGACTATTTAAAAACTAAAAAAGGCAGTAAAAATGAGGATTAGGTTATAATTCAGTGGAAAAGAAAAAACTTGTTTAACATGCATGTGACTCTAGATTGAGTTCTCATTAAACAACAACAACAACAGTAACAAAACACTGAAACATTACTGGTGAGGGTCTGAGGAAAGAGGAGCTTTAACACTATTGTTTGAAATGTAAACTGGCCTGGTCACTATGGAAACCATCCCAACACCTTATTGAAACACTAGCACTAGAACTGTATTACCAAACTATACTACTTCTGAATATGTATCCAAAAAGATTCATGACAGCATGCCACAGAGACAGTTAAATACCGGTATTTATTGCTGCCACAATCACAATAGCCTAGATGTCCATCAACAGGTGAGTAAATATGGAACATATGAGAGATATATACACTAGTGTTTTATTCAGCTATAAAGAGCAAACTTAAGCCATTTGCATGAGTACTGGTTGACATTCATGTTTAGAAAGATTAATTAACGTGTTCAAATTGTGAAAGGATTTTAAACCTATACGATTCCATCTATTTCTGAGAAACTTCTTTTTGGCTGAACATGAAGTCACTGCAAAACTGAGTGCTAAGTCTGAACTTGCCTGTTTCCAATTAAGAATCATTGTGGGGATGCCTATATCTCTTAATCTCTATGTTATTCTTCTCTCAAAAGTAGAATTAATACAACGTTATGTACTTTACAGGATTTATAAACCAAGTGAAACCAAACTTGTTAAGTGTTTTCAAATAAGGCTTATTATAGAGAACCAAACAGGTTATAGTTATTCCAAGTAACTTTCAGTGATATCTTATTATTAACTGTTCTTTTATTTCCCCAGGTGATATGTTCTTTATGGCAGACAATGGCACCAGGGTGACAGAATTTATTCTGATGGGGTTCCAGCTTCAGGCAGAGTTGCAGCTAGGTCTCTTCTTCATGTTTCTGGCTTTTTACCTCATCACCATGGGAGGAAACCTGGGTATGATCATGCTAATTCAGAGTGACCCTCGGCTTCAAACACCCATGTACTTCTTCCTCAGCCATCTGTCCTTCCTGGATATTTGCTACTCATCTGTTATTGTGCCTCAGCTGCTGGAGACCTTGGGAGCTCATAAGATGGTCATCACTTATGAGCGCTGTGCCACCCAGTTCTTCTTCTTCACCTGGTATGCTAGTACTGAGTGTTTCCTTTTGGCTGTCATGGCCTATGACCGCTATGTGGCTGTGTGTTCTCCTCTCCTCTATGCCGTGGCCATGACACCACAGACTCGCCTGGGGCTGGTTGCTGCAGCATACTCTGGTGCAATGGTAAATACTGTTGTCCGAACTGGGTGTACCTTTTCCATTTCCTTTTGTAAATCTAACCAGGTTGACTTCTTTTTTTGTGACCTCCCACCCCTGCTAAAGCTTGCCTGTAGTGAGACCAAGTCACGAGAGCAGGTAATCTTTCTTTTGGCTTTCTTGGTCATCACAACTAGTATTTCAGTGATTCTTATATCCTACCTATTCATTATTTGGGCTATTCTGAAGATTCGTACAGCAGGGGCCAAAGCCAAGACCTTCTCCACATGTGCATCTCACATGACTGCAGTGGCTCTATTTTTTGGAACACTTATATTCATGTACTTGAAAGGTAACATGGGAAAATCACTCTGGAAAGACAAGATTGTGTCTGTATTCTATACTGTGGTGATCCCTATGCTGAACCCTATTATCTATAGCCTGAGGAACAAGGAAGTGAAGGAGGCTCTGAAGAAAGCTTTTAAAAGAATGAAGGTTTCCCAAGGCGAGTAAGACTTAATTAAACTCCCTAAGTTCAGAAATTCCTGAGAGTCCTCTGGGCCTATGTTTTGACTTCTTAATATGTGACTCTGCTCTCATAGTTGCATTTATATTTCGAAGCAAAAAATATAAGTTTGGCTTTCAGAACTTTATTAGCTCTGTTATTTTAAGCAAGAAATTCTTTGTATCATTTTATCACACTTGAAATTTTTATTGATGCTATAGAGATGGCACAGTAGTTGATGGGTTGATGGTGCATCTTGTTCATGCAGAGGACTCAAATTCAATGTCAAGCACTGACTTTTATCTACATCTAGATATCCACAGGCTCTTCTGACCTCCAAAGACTCTCGTTCTCTCTCTCTCTCTCTCTCTCTCTCTCTCTCTCTCTCTCTCTCTCTCTCCCTCATACACACCTATGATTGCATAATTAAAAGAATATTTTTAAGAAGAAATTTTTCTTTTTTGATATGATTGAAAGTCAAAAGATGTTTAGCCCAGATCAAGAGAGACAGAATCAATATCAAGGATGTTTACAAATAGAAATATGTTACAAATTGTGAGCTTTATTTTTCATATCAGTTCTGGGTATTGTTGAATACTTCAATAAGCTACTTTATTCTTTCTTTCATGTAAAACTTATTTTTTAAACTCATGATAATCACAAGCAGCAGTGTATTTCTCATGTGATTAAAATAAACTCTTTGGTTATGGATGGTTAAGCAGATATCAGTATTGGACAAAGAGACTGAACCTTCACTCATAAATAATTTAGGTGTTTTTCATGGAGGAATAGAAGTAGCTAAACAAAAGATGACAGACTTGGTGAAATGGAGTTATGATTCAGGAATGCTCAACCTTAATATGTTTGCTTATTATCCAAGAGGGCATAAAGTCAAGGTGCTGTAAAATAAAGGGAAGAAGCAATGATTGATATTAATTATTAGAAATAGTTTGATCTTGATGTATGGTGGAACTAAAACACACAGATAGCGTTACACTAATTTTTTCGATCACCAAAGGTAAGATGTTCTATTTTTTTCTCATCACTATTCATGGAAAGATGCTTCAATTAATGCAGGTTATTTTCTATTCTCTAGTGAGAGCCACCACTATCTTCTCTCATCTTCCCTAGGACTTTTACCTTATTATCAGAAAACTGAGAAAGACAAATCTATCACCTTTTAATGTCTTCCATTATGTGATAGTAATATTACTTGGGAATATTCCCATATAGACTTTGCAGTCTTGTTCACCATTTCATCAATATAGTCTCTACTGTGTAGCAAAGATAATATTTGGCTGGAACATGGGAATAAATAAAATACATAATAAAATTCATAGGGGTTATCCTGAATGGAATTTGAAACATGGGGCATAGTCAAGTATTGCCATGCCAGACCATTAAAGTTTTGAAAAGTGGAAATAAAAAATAATTTAACAAAAAATAAGAATCACGTGTCATTGTTAAATGGTGTAGTAAGGCTTTAAGGCTTTAACTTAGTCTGGCTAAAAAAAATTGTCCCCAAAGAACTAACATCTAGCAAGAGACCTAAAGAATTACATATGATGTTTTTCTAAGAAGTGGAGACTATATCAGATTGGAATAATTATAAATGCAAAATTCTGTGAAATCTGATACATTGAAGGTAAGCCAAATTACAGAATTCTTAGGGGAAATAGAAGAGGTGAACTCAGGAGAAACAAGGACACAAACCCTTGCAGGTTTGCATAAGGGCTTGCAAATTTTATTCCAAGAGCAGGATAGGAAATGATAGTTTCAAATTTTAAAAAACTCCATTTTCTGCAGTTGATTAGGCTGGAAAGGAGGAGACCAATAGTTATGGAAATAGGGGAGCATAGACTCAGCTGTGTAAGAAACAATTGGAATATTCTACTACATGATAGTATATTTCTGTGAAATACAGTATGATGCTTCTCAAATACATCTTAGGAAAGAGAAAACTAAGAGGCAAAGGACTATGATGTGAGATTAGAACTGATTCTTAGAAAAAATGGTAAAATTGACAAAATATCTGTCTTTGCATTTAACTTGCATTAGGTCTGATCTTTCCTGGGTCTGTAGACTATACCACCTATAAAAACAACTATTTTATTAATCTTCTGGTCTATGATGGGCTGCAATAATGAGCTTAAGAAATCATTCATTATTGGGTAATTTTAAATAAAATACATATACAATATATTAAACTAAGATTTTCTTTCTTAGTGGTAGTGAGAATTAGTTACCTCACTTTCCTCTCAATTTCTACTTGGTAAGTCAAAACCAATTCTACTTATCGATGAGTCATTACATGTAATTAATGTATGCTTATGAAAATATCTAAAATGGACAAATAAACAAATAATTTTCCCAGTATTGGGTCCATGCACGATTGCTTCTGGATTACACAAGGCAGATTAAAATAAGGTTTAATGATTGCAAACATTGCTTTTTTAACAATTTAATTTTATTATTTGTGTATGAACTTTTGACAGGATGCATAGATGGACACCATGTGCATGTAGTTCCCAAAAAGGCCAGAAGAGAGCACTGAATTCCTTGGAACTTGAGTGGCAGATTGTGAGCTGCCATGTGGGTTCGAGGAATCAATTCCTGCTCCTCTATACGAATATCAAGTGCTCTTAACTACTGAGCCATCTGTCCAATCCCCAAGAGACTAACTCATGCATGAAGCATAGCATTTATTGTTCTGTCAGAGATACTTATCAATAAATGAATGAAACTATTGACTGTCTAATCTGTATGGAGTTCCATGCAAAGCTCCTTTATTCTTCTTTTTAAAGTTCCATTTTTTAAATAAAAATCTTTCACTCACAATTTTATTTTATTATTGCTGTTTAGTCACATTGTGTAACCCAGGTTAGCCTGAAGCTCAAGGTTTTTCTTTTTCAGTCTCCCAGATACTGAACTTGAAATCACATGCCACCCAGTAGGCTCACCCATAACATTAAGAAGTAGAAAACAGTCTATGGTTTTGAAATGGCTTTCTTTTTTCTTTTCTTTTCTTTTTTCATTCTCAACTTCAGAGTTCCATCAAGGTTGCAGGAGGATACATGAGTTTTGGGGTCGGGAAGGGGCCAGTAGCTTGCAGGATTCAGTGGATGGGAATGGTTATTGAGGCAGCCTACCTGCAGGTAACTCTCCCGCTGGCTAACTTGGGCAGTTAGGGGAAGGGGCCCGGGGTTTTGACCCACTATGGAGGTCCTAGAGAGTGGGATGTTCTGCCTGGGAGTTGGTCAGTCACCTTTTGGTCCTCTCTGTATTGTAGCAAGTTGTGTTTCAGAGTTCCACCAAGATTGCAGAAAGATAGGCGAGTTTGTGTGGCAGGATGGGTCTAGTAGCTTGCAGGATCCAGTGGATGAGGGTGGGTATTGAGGCAGCCTACATGCAGCTGAAATGATAATAGTTAGGTAAAAGTCTTTCTCTTGGTCTTCACACAATTGTCTTTGAAAAAAGTGAAGAAAGTAGACCTGCAAACTGACTTTTTTTAAAGCTGGCAATGACTAGAGGCTATATTTTTGTACCACTCACAGTGCTTGTGACTAAATGCACAAGATCAGCCAAAGAAGAAACCAATCTAAACTCCAGTATAGGTGGAAGAGGGGGTTCATGAAGTGCCACCTAGGCTGAGGTACTGTTGGCAACTGATGGCTACAAGGAAGGGAGAAAAATTTTCTTGTGCTACAGACCCTGACAACTACACATGCATCAATAGATGATCTTAAACCCTTGTACACATAGGCAGACCTAAGTAAAAATCGCTGTATTTAAAAATAAAATGAAAGCATATGAAGTTTGGAGGGAGAAGTGGTGAGGTGCAGGAAGAAGGTTGGAGGGGATGGAATAAGGGATGGATTTACTCAAAAATTATATACACGTATAATGTTCTCAAATAATAAAAATGCAAAAATAAAATATTGAATCAATGAAAAACACAGCACTAATACTTTTAACTATAAAAATTTGCACAATACTCTGTGTGTATTTGTATGTATGATTACATATATATTAATTTGAAAGCATGAGAATAGATATGAGCCAAATTAGCTATATTGTTTTTATAAGAGCAGTAGTTGTTGGAAAATGAAGGCCTATCACCCATATTACTCATGATACTATGCCCTTAAAAGAAGTGTGTGCTTGAAGATTTTCTTTTGTTTGTGGAGTATGAGATTTAGGCTTTGGAACCTGCAACTGTGGGGGGAGAACAGCTGTCTGTTTTCCTCTGTGACAGGGAACAGGTGCCTTGTTAAGAATTCACATAGGCGATAGATGCTGCCCCTCAGAGACCATTTTATCCACTGTGTGGAGATCTCAGAGTTTTGTAACCAAAATTAGCATCTTCTCTTAAAGGTGATTGTGTTAGAATTGGAAACGTATAAGAAAAGGCTGTTCTCCAACCTTTGCTGACTGAATCTAATATGTAACTGAACTACACTCAAGATGAAGAATGCATCCTGGTTAGATTTAATAGATTTTGGAAACAACAAAAAATCTTTGGTATGGCAGATGGTTAGAAGGATTTCAAGAATTATTGGAGGAAGAGTCTGTTAAGGCATTATTATGTCCATACTGATTATTATGGCACTTGCATGAGTGCTTGTGTGTGTGTGTGTGTGTGTGTGTGTGTGTGTGTGTGTGTGTATCTTCCTCAGTCTCATAACTAAAAGTACAGGGCATCAGCAAAAGTCAGCAAATCTTTTGCAGCTTAGGACAGTATTCCCACTATTATACCCTAGGATACTCTTTACCAGGTAGATGAAATGAAATGATCTTGTTTAGACTAAGAAAAAGTAGTGGATGAAAAGAAAAGAAGGTCAGTGAGTAAAGCCAAACTTGAAGTCAGATGATCACACTAACCAAAACCATTTTTTTTATTTACCATTATCCCCAGCACTTTAGTCCAGCACTGATCTAGCTCCCAAAGTTTTATGTTACAATGCTTTTTAACATCTTCCCTGCCCTGATATACTTATATTCAGCCAAATGACAATCAATTCTCTAGCTTCAAAGCCTCTATCATCATTTGAGCTTTTTGACTTGATGGTGGACATTTTTTCTAAGTAACAGGACTTGGAAGGAACCAAGAAATCATGTGAAATCAGCTATATGGTAAGCAGTTCTAGCAAATGTGCAACTTGGTACCTGATGGTGATTAGATCATTTCCTAGCTGTGCTGTCGTGGGCTTGTAGCTTAAGTGTGGTCTTAGTTCTCTCACACACAAAAAGAAGAAATCTATTTATAAATTCCTTGTGAAAATTCAATGAATGAATACATATTATTAAGAGTAGTCTACCAATGTTTTTTATTATTGTCAATATTGTTCTAATTAAAATGTATATTTTTGTGAAAATCAACAATTTATTTTAGTTAAGTAGCACATTTTAAGGTAATAGAGGTATAAAACATAGAAAGAACTTATGACAATCACTGATATTTTCATCAGTTGTATTGAATTCTCATGTTTAGGACGCATTCTGATTTTGCAACTGGAGTTCTAACACAATATTGTTCTCTTTTCAAGGTGTATCACATGTTATTTAATAACTTCATTCTATAAAGTGTATTAATCTTTTACTGAGTGATGAACTCCCAAGGGACAATTACTGTCTGGAGAAAGAATAATGAAAGGAGATTTCTTGTAAGGCCTATGATTTGATAAACAATTTGAAGGTAGTGTAAGCACTGGGGAGGACCCTGAGGGCAGGAAATGTGTTCTTTCTAGGCAGAAGTGATATTCTGCCTAAAGCACAGAGACAGACGAGAATGGAGGAGTCATCAGTCTGTGAACAATTCAGTACATCTGGGGAAATTTGGGGAGAGTGAGGTGTCATTATGTGCGTTATAACTGGGAAGTAAATTGGGGACATAAGAAAATAAGTAGGGGAAATAATAGAGATAATCCCAATGTATTAAGGATGCTAATTAATTTTCTGCTCTTAAATGGGTTCCTGACCTAGATTTTTGTCTAATGGGTGAGACATGATCAAAATAAAATCTTGGAAATAACAAGATTTTAATTGATATTAAACTTAAAAGTAGCAATAACTGGTAAGTTACTCTGACTCAGGAATGATGTAGAGCAGTTAGCTCCATGTTGATTTAACCCAGAAAATAGATGAAGAGGGTTGGAAATAGGAGAAGAAGCTGGGAGCATCAAGGAGAGGAGGCAAAATCCTGAGATGGTCAACTGCATGGTGGGAAAATGACCACAAATCACTGGATAGGCTCTGCTTGATTTGCAGGGCTCACACAGCTACTTTGCAATATAGATGGGGTAACCCAGTCTCTTGATCTGCATAGGTTCACATGTGTCTTATTTTCTGCTCAGTCTCCTAAGGTGACTATCACAGAACTTCCTTGAAGGAAGGAATTAATATCTGTCCTGTATAAAGTTCCCTCTCAATGTTCAAAGGTGTACACTGTACTTGCAGGTGCATCCTGTGTGCAGCATACTGACTTGCTTTTAATGCTTTCTCAGGTACAACTGGCTTCATGGCCAAGGTGAACCTTACTTTGGTGACAGAGTTCCTCCTAATAGCGTTCACTGAACACCCAGAACGGGGGCTCCCTCTCTTCCACCTGTTCTTATTTATCTATCTCTTCACTTTGCTGGGGAACTCAGGCATGATTATTTTAATCCGCATGGATCGCCAACTCCACACCCCGATGTACTTTCTTCTAAGCCACCTCTCTTTCATGGACATCTGCTACTCCTCTGTCACTGTTCCTCAGACAATGACTGTGTTGTTGGAGCACGGGACAGCTATATCCTACGCACGCTGCGAGGCTCAGTTTTTCCTGTTTACTTTCTTTGGCTCCATCGATTGCTACCTCTTGGCTCTCATGGCCTACGACCGCTACGCGGCTGTGTGCCAGCCTCTGCTTTATGCCACCATCATGACACAGAAAGCCCTTCTAAGTTTTGTGGCTGGGGCTTATGTTGCTGGCCTCCTCAGTGCCTTGGTGCGGACAGTCTCAGCATTCTCCCTCTCATTTTGTGGAAACAATGAAATCGACTTCATTTTCTGTGACCTTCCTCCTCTGTTAAAGCTGACCTGTGGAGAGAGCTACACACAAGAATTAGTAATCATTGTGTTTGCCATTTTTGTTATCCCTGCTTGTATGGTGGTAATTGTGGTTTCCTACCTGTTCATCATAGTGGCCATTCTGAGGATCCCTTCAGCAGGAAGTAGGGCTAAGACCTTCTCAACATGCGCCTCCCACCTGACTGCAGTGCTGCTCTTCTTTGGCACCCTCATCTTCATGTACCTGAGAGATAACTCTGGCCAGGCTTCAGAAAAGGACCGGGTAGTGTCTGTATTCTACACAACAGTAATTCCCATGTTGAATCCCCTCATCTACAGCTTGAGAAACAAGGAAGTGAAGGAAGCACTGAGGAGAGTTCTCAATAGAGTCAAGACTTCCTAACCTCTTCCCACCTTTGGAATTGCTGAGAGTAATCAGTTTTCTACCGCCAGCACTTTAAGATTTCCTTATTTATATTATTCCCAATTTTAAAGTGGATATCAAGATGCAGGGTTTATAAAAAGTGGAATGTTTAGCTTCAGGTAGAGGCAAGAAGAATTGTAAAAGTCAGCTGAAGAGATCTGAGTGTGGAGCATGGCACCCAGGATATGTACAATTTGACAGGTCTCACTGGTTTGTGATGATTGAACAAGACTGTAGTTTTTGCAAAACTTTCCATAAAAAGAAAATGTTAAAAATATTATTTAATAAACATTATATTCATTAAATTCTGATAATGTTAATATTTTTCTATATTAATATCTGGGTCTTAGATTCGATTCCAATGGTCAACATCTCTGTTTTTGTGCCAGTACCAAGCAGTTTTCATTACTGTAGCTCTGTACTAGAGTTTGAAGTCAGGGATGGTAATGCCTCTGGAAATACTTTTATTGTATAGGATTGTTTTGCTATCCTGGGTTTTTTGTTTTTCCATATAAAGTTGATTATTCTCTCAAGGTCTGTGAAGAATTTTGTTGGGATTTTTTTGGGGATTGCATTGAATCCATAGATTGCTTTTGGTAGAATTGCCATTTTTACTATGCTGATCCTCCCAATCCAAGAGCATAGGAGATTCTTCCATTTTCTGGTATCCAATTTCTTTCTTCAAAACCTTAAAATTTTTGTCAAATAGATCTTTCACTTCCTTGGTTATAGTTACCCCAAGATACTTTATGCTATTTGTGGCTATCTTGAAAGGTGATGTTTCTCTGATTTCCCTCTCTGCTTCTTTGTTCTTTGTGTATAGGAGTCATTTAGAAAACTCAAATTAGTTGAATAAAATTTCCTCCATGTTGAAGTAGACAATATTTGATTCTTGCAAATTAAGTCAGTATGCTGAAGAGCTACCTGCTCTCAGAACCCATTAGAAAGAAATGAGCAAGTGGGTGGAAAAAATGGACAAAGAGAATAAATTTCCAGGCTTAAAGAAACAGGTTAATCTTTTCTGGTATCTGATCAAATGTTAAGCAGGTAACTAAAGAATCCATTTAAGAAGAAAAGGCGAAATTATGAAGTTGTGGGAACTTGGCCTACATTAGTTAATATAGAAAATTTTTACGGTTTTGTTTTATATTAGTGCACATTGAGGTAAATATCGTGAGTTTCTTTATATATACAATGTGCTTTGGATATATTATCCATATCATGTCTTCTTCCTCTTATCTTTTTTCGTGGTTCTCTTCCACTTTCCAACTAGCATCTATGTCATGTTTTTCTTTCAAAATGTATTCCTACATGTGAGAGAAAACAGTCAATATTTGCATTTCTGAATATGAATTGCTTTACTTAACATGATGATCATCAGTTTCAATCATGATGTAATTCTTTTTTATGTCTGAAAAATTGTCCATTATGCACATATACCACATATTATTTATATATTAATACATTGTTGTGCACCTTGATTTAGTCTATAAGTTAGAAATTGTGAATAGTGCTGCAATAAATAAGAGAATGAATATATTTTTCTTATGTAGTTGCTTATATTTTAAAAAACTATGTGCAGAAGTGATAGAGGTGGATTATATGATGGCTGTATTTTAGTTTCTTTTATTTATTTTTTTTCTGGTTTCTCTGTAGCTTTGGAGCCTGTCCTGGAACTAGCTCTTGTATACCAGGCTGGCCTTGAACTCACAGAGATCTACCTCCCTCTTTCTCCCTAGTGCTGGAATTAAAGGCATGCACAACCACTGGGCTAGTTTTGGTTTAATTTTTGTATTTTTTTATTTTTCTTTTTTTTAAAGACAGGATTTCTCTATTATATGAGGTTGTACGGGGAACTCACTCTGTATATCAGGCTGGCCTTGAACTCAGAGAGATCCACCTGCCTCTGTTTCCCTGAGTACTGCCATTAAAGGCATACGCCACCACCACCTGGCTTAGTTCCTAGAATTTTTAAAATAATTTGAATATGCCTTCACACTAATGATTTTTTATTTCCTGTATTTTTTTTGATTTTTCATTTCACTTTCCTATCCAGTTCGCAAGACCTTTCATCTATTTGTGATCTTTCGTGTTTCCATTTGAACTGTAGGATTGTTTTGCTCATTCTATGAAGACTCTTCAAGAAATTTCAAGATTTTATTAAATCTGTAAACCACCTTTGGAAATATAGACAAGAAATAAATCTTGTTTGCTTTAAGAAAGTAAGAGTTTTTACAACTTGCTTCAGTAGCGCAGATTAGCATAACTTATTTAAAAATCTGGGTTCTTGGAAGAAGAAAAAATGAATAAGTAATCTGTGAGATAAGTCATGAGCATATCACAAATATATGTATTTATATATAATTTTTAGTGCTTTTTAATTTAGTCTTTTCTCTGACAATGCATTCTGACTGCGGTTTCTCTTCCCCCAAGTCTTTCAAGATCCTCCCCACCTTACCCCCCAGATCCACTCCCCCTCTCTTTCTCTTTAGTAAATAGCAAGTCCTTGAGGAATATCAATTGAACTTGGCATAAAAAGAAATATTTTTCTTATTATTTCATTTATATTTTACATTTTAACAATATTTCTGACATATAAAACACATTACATAGAAAAACATACAGGATTTTAATATTTTTACATGTATTTTTAAGTTGAAAAATAAATTTCTGAATCAGAAATACAACTCCAGCAGCTCTACCGGAGGCCAGGCTGGTCCTATGTACCAAAGAAGAAGATTCAGGCTTTATTGGAGACAAGGTCAGGCCAGATCTAGGAAGACTTTTGCTTGTTCAGGGACCAGACCCAATCAAGGAACTCAAGGCCCCCAAACCCCAGAGTAGATGCCCTACTAGACATAAAGACTCACCAGTCACCAGAACCCTTGGCGACTTAGGCCGGAAGAACAGAGATGAAATAGAAACCAAGGGATAAAACACTGTCTAACAAAGGTCAGGAATGAACACCTATATCAATTATCATCCCAGATCCAGTTACCTAAATGTCAGTTGTAGCATGAGTAATATAAACCCAGAGACAGATGTTGGGGTTCAAGATAAAAATCAGAAAAACAAAGTAGACAAGTCACTAGATAAATCTGACCTCTACCAAGACTGGGTCACTGCAGGTAAACTCTGAGCTGCTGCTTCCTCCTGTTTTGTAGTCCCCTTTAGTACTGAGATTAAAGATATGTGACTCCCTATTACTAGAATTAAAGTTGTGAGCGACTACTACCTTGATTTGTCTCTGCATTGATCTTGTGTAGCTCAGGATGGCCTTGAACTCACAGAGATCCATCTGCCTCCATCTCCTAAATCCTGGGAATAAAGGTGTGTGATACCACTACCTGACTTCAAGTGGCTTTCTTTTATCCTCTGATCTTCAGGCAAGGTTTATTTATTAAGATATTATTAAATAAAATATCACTATATTTCCCTTTATGTCTAAAATTTAAAAAGAAACTATATCTAATACAAAAAAGTAAGTACAGTAAATATATACAATATATAAGGGAAAGAAATATATTAACAGTATCTAGTCCATTTGCCTTTGACAAATTCAAAGAAAGTACTTCATATCTATCCTGTCTTGTGAGTCCAATGTCTTTTACCTAATAAACATTTTATCATAACTTTCTATGTCTTGTAAAGAAGTAAAATTATATCTATAACTATCTAGTCTTCAACTCCCTCAGACATTAAAGAATGAGATAATATTAACTGAGTAGTCAGGAAATGTGAATGAGTGACTCCCAAAGATTGGAGGGAATGACAGAAACAACTGTCTGCCTGTATAGTTACTCAAAGTTCCTATGCAATGTTGGAGCATTCATCTTCAACCTAAAGACCTAGAATATCTGACTTTTCTATGAAGCAGGGTTTTGAAGGACTGTCTCACCTTGTCTGGGAAAAGTTTGGCAGTCATTCTTTTTTGTTGTTGTTGTTGTTCTGCTTGTTCAATTAGAGCGGCAAGCTGTCAGAAGTTGAAGCAAGGTCACTTTTTTTGCTCAGTGACTTACTTCTGCCACAAAGAACTCAAAATCCATGTGGAGTTTCTTCAGTGCCCATCATTTTCTCTGAAATAGATTGGCACTTCAAGGAGCAGACATGTCACATTGTCATAAAAAAGAATCTATGTTATTAAAAAATCTCAAATACAATATTTTGTAGACCTCCAAAATGTTTGAAGATGGCCTGTCTATTTAAAATATATCTTTTTCTGACCTTGAAAACTTTTTTAATATAACTACAAGTTTGATTGTAATAGGGGAATAATTACAGCAATGCATTTCCTTATTGTTAAAAAACAGTTGGTAATAATGACTTTCATGGACTAGAAGTTTGCATTATATTGTTAAATGAGTTGTATAAGTACAATACCTTGAACGAGATTAGAAATGTATGTACAATCTGTTTTAACAAAGTTAGTCTCAAATTTGTATCAATAAAAAATTTGTATACAATAGACAAAAGCCCAAACCAGTGTAAAATATCTAAGACTAGTAGTCGTTTTTTTTTTAAAAAAAGATTCAATAATTTGCCTTTTTATCATACCATATCTGTGTCACCCTTTTTTTCTTTTTGAAATAAGAACCTTGAATCTAATTTCCTTTGCTTAGCTATTACCCTGACTATTATCAATAACAGTTTGTAACCAACCACTCTAAACAATGACAAATATCCATAACCTATTGAAAAACCAAAAGTCATTCATCCTACATGTACAAGAAGGTTGATGAAATTCTTTTTCTGGAATTAGTTAGTATTCTATATGTCAATTAATATCATGACAAAAAGTGTTATATATATGTATATATATATATGTGTGTGTGTATGTGCGCGTGTATGTGTCATGCATTGCATATATATTATATTAAACTTTATATATTAATATTTTTATATTTAAATAAGCTAAAATTTAACTTAAGAAAAACTGTTAAAGAGTAAATATAAAACAAAAGGATTACGAGATTAGTGGCAATAAAGTAGTCCT